AGAGAAAGACTCGTTTCTCGGCTTAGGGCCGCCGCAGGAATCAAGTACTAAGCGTCCGGAATGTCGAAAGCGCGTTTGGTATTTTATGCATCTAAAACGAGCCGTACAACGAAATCAAACGCGAACTCCGTTCCGCACTGCGCTGTGATCTTTCGAACTGACTTAACGATAGTTTTTGCACGCGCGAGCATTGCCGTTTTATTCGAGGGAGCGACGCAGCCAGTGATATTTTTTTTTCCTTTTTTCACATATCTGTAAAACTTACCTACGCGTAAGATAAATCGGAATATTTGGACAATGAGTAATTATTCCTTTTATTGTATTTGTTTCTATTAAAGTGTCTTTGTATTTATGTAAGTCATAAAGAAAATTAGCACGAATAAATAAGAGGTTCAATTTTTTTTATTAAGTTAAATTATTAATGTATACGATATCTACCAAAGTATAAATATCTACTTTTTAATTGTTAAAGTATAGTAAATATTTTTTGTAGGATACATATCACAATTTAGAGAAATTTATGCGAGTCCAAGACTTTTAATTTGTCCCTATTAGTGCTCTGTATTGGAACTGAGAACGTTGTGTTATAAATGTACATTGAAATTGTAAGTATAATTAAAATAACGATTTATTAGCTTACTAAATCTATTATCTATCGTAGTAATTATATATATTAAAATGAATCAAATGCGGATGGGTACACAAATTGGGGGCATATTAATAAAGTCCTTGGAGAGACACACTAATAGGGATGAAATATTTTTGTTATTTTCATTAAACATTTTAGATTTAAAAAAAATATTATTAAAAAAATAATTGAAAAATCAGTATTGATTTCAAGCAGAATTAAAAAGCTACAATATTTAATACTTAATTCAACAGGTAATAAGTAAATTGGGTCAAAGGCACACTAATAGAAAATTATCCTACAAATGTGGAAAAAAATTCGAAATTTAAATGCGAAAACATTTTGAACGGAGTCCGGGGAATATTTCCTGAACGGAAACTTCAAACAGCCTCCGATTAGCTGTTGATACCATCAAGTAATACCTACGACGCGATTGTTCTTCCATGGGTTTTACATGTATCTTGAATTACTTGACGTACAGCTTTGATCGCGACGGAGGATTATTCGCTCGGGTGAAAATAGAGCGCGCGAACAACACCTTGCGTCAGGCCGAATCTATAATTAGATTCGCGGCCGAGAGGAAAATTGTAAAATACGAGCTCGCTGCTATGAATTCTCGAGGGTAACACGCGCGCTTTTACGTAGATCCACGAGAATTTACGTTCGCGATAACGGAAATCCGGAAGATTGTCTCTATTATTATTTTTCGGCCTTTCCTTTTTTCCAATATAAATTCGTTATAAGATCAAGGCGTACGCGAGTTTGCGGAGCGGATGTTCGTAGCGGATACTTGTATAGACGCGAGTATTGTCTCTTGGTCGATAACGCGCGATTAGGAAAGAATTCCAAAATGATACATACTATCGAAATATCGGAAAATTCCGTGAAATCTCTCTCAAGGTGCTTTCGACGATTTTATTTATACTCGCTTTGTTATAAAAGATTTCCCCACGTAAACACAGGGCGTCAATCCAGAAATTGTCTGACATTAATAGATTGCCTGCTCCCAAGGAATACATATTTCCGTTGTGCGAATGAGAAATCAAGGGATGGTAACGCGGTACGATGCGAAGGTTTATGCAACGCGTCGATCCGGTCGTTTAAATCGTGATAAATTGTCATTGTCGCAACAGATTTAGATCAGTATTCACAGTCAGTTCTTATATGTTTAAGACGGTCTTGAGTACAGTCTTCAGATGTCGTAAGTCAATCACAGAACTGGATCTGCATTTTAAGACATTACTTAAAATAGTCTTAAAATAAGAAACGGACTATGAATACCTCGGGAAAATCAGACGCACGCGAGTAAAAATTTAATTTTTTTGTCCTTCCCATTTTCCCAGATAGAACACGGAGTCATAATTAATTCGTAATAATATTACAGAACGTCATCACGACGTCATTTGATACTTAAAAATTTACTTACAAATAACAAATGAGGTCATAATGATGCCCTTATGATATTATTATGCCTTCTATGTTCTACTTGGATTGTTTTTTGCCTCGTTCTTATCGTGTTAATGAGTCGCTAAAAACGATTTTGTCTTCCATACTGATTTTCATATTCTTTTCGCGATACTGTTCGACTTTAAAAAGAGAAAAAGAAGTAAAGTAAACCGCGAAAGTGTGGACAATGCTGCCGGAGATGGCATTTCTCCCGTCCTTTTTACATATTTTATCTCACTAACAAATATTTTTTTATACATAATTGACATTCCTTATCATAGACGCAATTTCATTCATTATATAAAATGCACAACTGCACCATCTTTATTTATAAATTAAAACTAACAACAATGCTCTACACACACATACACACACACACACACACACAAAACACACAAACACACATGCACACATACAAATGACGTACAGATGCGCGATAATTATTCTTCGTGAAACATTTATCGTGAATAAAAATTGCTTATGTTACAATTTTTATGCAGATATTCCTTTCTTATAACATGTTTTCGTATCAATTCGTATATGCGCACGTATCATGCATGCATAAATACATACACATAGTGCATATACAGCAGCGTATATGAATTTGATATGTCAGTGCGAATTTTTTTATTCAAATCTGACACGTTTTATATTCCTTTTACGAATTAGAATAGAAACGCGGTTTTAAATTTTAAAGAAAAAAAATTTTACGTGAACATGGAAATAAGTTCAGTGATTATATTTATTTTTATTTAAAATTAATCAATATTATTTTATTCAAAGAAGTTATTCATGCATTTAATTTACACAATACATGCATACACACCAATATTTTCATATTTACATGAAGAATGTTCCACAAATGTTGGATTAATCCATATTGGATGGTTCTACGATGAAACTGTGTTTAATAATTTAATATAAATTGTGGACTATAGATGGATTTTTCAAATAAACTTATCTATTTTGATTTTATTTAATTTTGTATTTGAAATACAATATTTTATTGCATATAGTATCGTCAAGCATATTGTTGCTTCATTCCTATAAAATATATTTTTTAATTAGATATCGCAAGTTTAAATTTTGATGAAAATATGGCTTCGGAAATAATCAAAGTATTATTTTTCTATTTATTGTGATATTATCCTCTATTATTATTATCAATTAAATGATAGTCATTATCGTTAATACGTACGAATTATCAATAGATCTCAAGATCAATCAAATTATTATTTATTGAGACACATGCATTATATAATTGCAATTTACGATTCGTCTATCATTTTAAACATTTTATAATCGAAAAACAGCTCTATCATCACGTTCTTCTATTGACATGCGAGTTTCTCGTCGAATCTCCAGTTATCATTCGATCCACACAACTCACGTATTATAGTTACTGTATAAACAGATCTGTTTAATAGCGTCTATTAATAATAATATGCTTCTCTTAAAAAAAAAAGGAATGCCTGGAATTGTATTACAAATATCTGTCCTGTATGGCACATGCAACACTCATGAGCCTTTGACACCTGCTTGCTGATGGGACATTAATCACTAAAGATCAATAGTGATCTATAAAATAATACCATCGTAACTATGTAATCGGAATTTCGTTATGTAATCTTTCTCATTTACCGGTGCTAATGTGGTGACAGGTGCACACCCAGGCTGCCTGTCTGAAAAATCGCTATAATGTTCGGAAATAACGCAATCCACGTACGTGTGTAATGGTAGCGATTAACAGATAGTGATCGATCATCGATTCTTTTCACTTGATCGTTTCTTCTTTTTTTGTTTGGCTGATATTCTGACACATATACAGGCAGCTACGTTCTTTTATGAACGCTGCAGGATAGATGCACCAGTGAGCGGTCGGTTAATTAATTGAATTTTTTTTGCGACTGCAACGAAATTTTGTGTGTTTGTTTTATTAATTCGCAATTTTTCATTGTCATTAACATTGAAAGTATATCGCATAAAATTAACGATAAAAAAGTGAAACAACAGGCTCGTCGGACGACTGATTTCAATAAATGCGATCGCTGAGGAGTGTGTAATTAGAAACCGACAGAGCATTGTGCCCTCATTCACTAGTGCATCCAGCCTGACGCGTGTTATTTCAGCGATGTGTAATCCATCGATTTGTACGTTTTTTTTTTTTTTGCGCGCGCAGGGAGGGTATCACGAGCCATATCACTTGAGCAGAAACGAACGGGTCTAATTGTCATGGACATTCGTGAGATAACGAAGTTAGTGTTGGCTTGATACTAGATACGTTCGTTTTTTCCGCGTGAATCCGTTGGATTATTATCTTGTCATAACGCGTACAAGTCGAATGCTTAACACTAATAATATTACAAGTAGCCGGTGCAAAGCAATGCTTCATCATCGGACGAATCTTCCCGATTCGAATCGAGTGCTCGCGCGATCTCGTTGGACAGTCTTCTTTCGCTCGTGAACGAAGAATTGAAACTCTAACGCATGAAATAATATCGGAAGAAATTTTTTTAACTTGAATATCGATTTAACGGATCCATTATTTGCCGGATTATGTGTCATGTACGGCGCGCGCACGAGAAAACGTGGAAGCGTTGCTTTTCACCACTAACTATATTTCTCTCAGCTGGCGAGCTACTAGATACTTAATGTTAACGTCGGTCAGTCATAATCAGATTACTAACAAACTGTTTTTCTTTTCTTTCTTGTTAACCCCGGTTGCCCGTGGCCTGTAGGCTTGGAGTGCTAACAATGGATATCCACTCGCCCCGTGCTAACACCTGGACTCTGGAACAGCATCCCGCGTTCGATCGGTTCACCAACCAGCCGACCACCTTCGCCGTCCGTCCGCGTCACCAGCCCCGTTCGTCAAGCTTATCCATCATCCTGTATCCTCTTAATGTTCGGAAACGTTAGTTTCTCCCACGCGTCTCGGCGACCGATGGAGTCGTCGCCGATTGGAATCCGAGCCACTTCGTGCCGTCGTAACCCCATCGATGGCACAAATATAATTCATCTCACTTCGCAAAACGATAGCGTTGCGAGGTGCATTAGCATAATATACAGAGATTTGGGACCCTATATATTAGTATACATTTTATATATTATATATTTATGGATAAATATATATTATATATTTTATGTAGAATACCCGCACGCCTTTTTTGCAAAAAGAAAACGCAGAACTTTATTCCGTACTTGTTTTGGACGCGAGTCAGGTATGCGAAATCTGAATTCAGTGCAACGTTAGCGGTAATAGCAGTAGTTTTTAGTACGAACGTTAGTTTATCGGTTATTTTTACTCCTTCGTGGGGAGGGGAATTTTGTTGTAGCACGCGCACGATGTATCTCCGAAGTATTTTATTTTCTCTCTCTTCTCGTGGCAGCGATGAAATGTTGTTCGCGTTTTTCCCAGTACTTATGACTACGCTGGCACCTCCCCGTCTCTGGAGGTGGCAGCGCAAGAATGTGACAACGTTAATATAACTTAAACGCAATGATATATTTACGCGCATTTTTAAGAGCTAACTGCTGAAGGAAGTGTCGCGCGAAAAAAAAAACACAAATGAGAATATATGCGAGAACTTGCAAAGTTCTTCAAAGACCTCGTCGGAGAAAATTACAATTGATGCCAATGTGTCTTCCTTTTTTTTTCTCGTGCGACACGTCTCTCATGGAGAAATTGTCGAAATTCTGTACAACTCTCTCGCATAAATGTGCCTTATGTAATGTTAATGTAGTGCGGTATAGCCGCGTTACTGTTCTAGATAAAGCTTTGTTATCGATAGACTCTACGTAGTAGCATTAGAACTGTGCAATCAAAATTTAACTTTCACGCGATATGTATATCTCTAGAAAGAGAAGGACAATGCCGATTGAATCGTGTTCCTAATAGTCTTTTTCGTTAAGTTGCGAGAAGAACTGTTAGGATCCACAGCTAGAATCATGAATATCCCAAGAATAAGGCTTTAAAAATATGCGTTGTATGCGGATGCACGAGAGAGCTACATGTACATATTGTTTCAGCTGAAAGTATTAAGAGAAGTGCTGTTCGCAGAGAATATTCTAGTACGTCAATGTGCAATACGTTGATGATGAAAGAAAAGTGGCAGGTCATCCAAAATGCATTGCCAAGATTCATGAATTGCACATTTTAACTTTACGAAAAACTTACAATTGAAATCGCAGGATTATCGAACAGATACGTATATGTATTTATATAAATATCGATAAAATGTCGATATCATCAGGTAAAAAAAAAAAGAATAACAGAAGTATCGCGAGATCTGTTATGACTTTCTACATCGCGGAATTATTTGCAAGATATTATTAAACATGTATATGAATATAAACAAAAGAAATGTAATCTCTGTCTACATACAAGCAAAAAGTGTTTGCGTGAGAGAGTGACTTACTTAATATCGACTTTATCATTATATTAGAGAGTTGCATCACTTTTTAGGTCTGCCATATTGTACATGTAATGATTAAGAATATCAAGTTGCACGCGTTATATAACTTCTGTATAGTCATTCATGTGTCAAATGTTATACTCGTTCTTTCGACAGATATTTTTGAATTTTTGTCCAAGGAGTCCCTCCTAGGTGTACCGATAGCTCGGTCCTTCATGTATATATAAGCGTTGAAAGATATACACGCACATGTTTAAGAGTGATCTGAAATCTACTTAAGTTCTCAACGTAAAAAAAAAACAAATATTCGATATATATTTTATTATTGTACGTAAATAATTGATTTAACGAAATATTTTGAATATCATTGTCCTTTATTAAGTGCGATTATAATATACGAATTACATAAAATATCGCGAGCGTGGTTATATAGAGAACAGTATATGTATACTCTTTATGTATATTCTGTTTAATATATATATGCGCCTGAGAACGTAAATTATTACACATGTATACACATAATGTATTATACATATGCACTGACTCAGTTGTGAACATCCGGACGGTATGAATAAATACCACTGTGATTTACTTCTGCGTCAAATATGCGGGGATACATTATCTGTTATGATTTTGGAAAGAAAATCCATTTTTAATATTTGCGTTCTATTATAATTTATTATATATAGTTTTTGTATAATATTGCAGCTCGTACTGCAGTTATCAGTTATATAAGCTATATGGCGCATATCCGATCTTCATTATTATTTTTTTATAATTTTTCGAGATTATTATTATTATTATCGCAGAAGTAAACACAGGCGTGATTTGTTTACACCCTGTTATCGTATTTATAAATGTATTCAGATAAGTTACATAAGAAATTATATATATGTGCAAGCAATCTTGTTAGATCTTACGGCATGCGAATTTACATTTATTATTCTATAGTTATATAGTTTTTTTGCCGAAATTTATTGTATATGATAATTTTTTAGTTTCATATTTTATTTTAATGTTGATATATGTGCAGGATATGTGGCAATATTAATGTGTAAGTGACAATGAAAAGCAATTCTGTTTTCTGAAATCTCAGAAAGATCTGATTACAAATCATAGTATACTGTACGCTACTTATCGAAGAAAATTCACAATTTACATTGAAAGTGCAAATAAAATAGTTTATACAAACATGTATAAATACTATGATGAACGGTAATAAAAATATTTTTTCAATACTCGACACTTCCTTGACACTTGAAAGAAATGACAAATATAAATAAGATTTCCGTTTGATTGATATATATGCATAAGTTATCAAAAAATAAATGGGCATTTCATAATCTCATACAAAATATATCGAAATATTTACATTAGCTTTATTTCTCTATTAAAAGAGATCCTTCTATGTACAATACAAAAATATCACTTAACATAAGATAAATTATTTTCTTATTGTTACAATTAGTACAAGCAGTATGGAATAGAAAAATTCTTTTACTACTTTATGACTTTGGTAATCGATAGAAACTACCGGAGAGTAACAGTTGGTGTTCCCTGACTTTTCTGTCCAAAAACTGCCTCAATTCTGGCAAGCCGCATTCGACAGCACCCGGTCCTTGCGACGCGAACATTTTCAACATCTGATGAATCCTTTCTATTGGCAATGACTCTAGATTCGTCAACATTCCAACGATGTACGACCAGAACACTTGCAACTCCTCCTCTCTCTGATCACTGGCTGAAGCCATTGCACTCTCAGTCTCCTCCTCCTCGACGATATCCGTCGATAAACGGTTCTTCGACGTACTTTCCTCTTGCAAAACGAACACGTCACTAGAAGTTTCCTTCAAAAGACCTTGAGACACCCAAAATGCCATTTTACGTCGAAGAACAGTCGCCGGTGCATGCATCACCTCCGCCAGATCTTGCAAAGTCCACTCATCTGCAAAATAAACTTAACTTAAGAACAACTATTTCACCATATATTTGCGTTTCGATTCGACAAATAATCAACGTGTTCTTACTTTTATCTTGGAAGTGCAAGATAATCGTTGCGTGCACCGGTGTGACGTTTATATCTAGCTTTCTGTCCTTCAATTCGATTTCCAGGCTCACGTTTCCTAAGTGAGGCTTCCAACAGAGCGTCCTGTTTCCCTTCAAGGCCTCGAACGCCTTCACATATTTATTCAGTTGATTTTGCACGATGCTTGGTAGTTTCAATTTCCAGTCTTCCTTGAATGGCGGCCAGAACTGCGCTGATAGTATGAGCGCGGAGGTGGGAAAGAGTTCCCTCTGCAAATTGTAACTGGTATCGGAGTGGATGTTACCATCTATCCTTTTCGAATCATAAACATCCTTCAGCATAACTTCGCAATAATGCAATTGATTCTCCCCGAATCGTCTCTTTAACAACTCTAAGTGACGTATCTCGCGTTCGGTATGATAATTGAGTTGTGAGAGCAGTCTATCCGCCAGCAACGTGCGATACTCGTTAACGAATAAGTCCTGGCTGCCGTAAACATTCACCAACGTAGAGATAATATCGGACACTTTACGCTGTGTCGATTTAGCTAGAAAAATAAATTTTTATTGAGAGAAAAGTTCATTATAAAAATATCTTATTTCGATGAGCATATAAATTTTGAAACTGCTCTCTCTTTTTATGATTCAATTTTAACTCAAGTCTTAATTTGGAGGAATATATATTTTAAATCCAATCCCTCAAAAATAGAATATGATGGTAAATGCGATTTAGAGCAGCACTTTTTTCGCTAAAGCCAATTATACAAGGAAATTTCGCAGTTTACCAGGATCAGCATCGACTGGATCCGGCATCCATTTTTCCCAATCTTCAGTTTCATCATCCGCCGAACCATCGTCCAGTTGCAAGCATTCGCCTTTCACCAATTCATCGGCTAATTCACTGGGTGAATCATCAAGCAAGCTATTAACGACGGAACGTACGGTGTCTTCTCTGCTCCTCAAATAGCACCTAAAAGATAAATTGGACTTGACAAATAACTGTAATTCTTAACATTTTATATTAAATTAATTCACATTATGAATTGCAACTTTGATGCGGCAAAACAAGGGACCTCACTTGATAGGTTCCGTTACAGCTTCTAGAAGAACGCCAGTTGGATCGAGATGCTTGAGCGCTTTGATCGCAGCAATATAAGCGGTCACTATATCTGGAGTGTTCACACCAGCATGTAGGAGCCGCGTTTTGATCGCTTCTTGCAAATTCTTAACCAGAACCTTCCGTTTATCAGTTCTTTCTAAACAAACTCGGAGATCATCCACCGCAGGCTGCGACTCGGGATATTCTAGAGAAAAATATAGTAGGTAATTGTATAAATTGCAAATAAATAATAAATCTTTATAAATAAATAAATTACTTTAGATTATAGATATATTAATTAAAATTGTACCTATTATTATATTAAATAGATGATCAATTCTTATATTAGTATACGTTTCGTACAAAAAATGAGATAGTTTCTGTTTGAACTTGTTTATAGCGTTACGAACTTCATCACTAAGTGCTACCGTTTTTGAAAAACCACCGGAATAAACTCTTATCAACCAATTCATCACGACAGTTTCGAGCCACTAAAACATAAAATGTAATAACGTATCATTATTATACAATTGTGTAAGATTATATAATGAGAGAGAACTAACATACATTTTCTAAAGAGATCAATTGCGACACATCAAATGTCTTATCACACGTTTGAATTACATGATTTTTAATACGAATATGGATTAGCGACGTGAGTACATTTCCCACAAGCCTCTCCAATAATTCCAACTCGATTAATTTTCTGTTTGTTTCGTGAAACATATAAACTATCATCTGGCATCGACAATTCTCCATTTCCTGGCCACATCCTGTACACTGGATCTCACTGATTGATATATCTGTTTTAAAGTGTATATTTCTATCATATTTCCCATGTTTCTCAAGCAAATCACAGATATAACACAAATAATAAAGATGAATATTTATAATTTACCTTGTGACGAGTTATCTGAATTACAAAATACATTAAACGCGATTTTGTAAAAATGTTCTATGATACATTCATGGTACAGAGGTAGTTGGCTCAATAACGTCGCTCTCACAATGAGCTTGAATTGTGCCTCTATATCTATACTGTCCTCAATGTTTGACGTTTCGCCTTTGTTCTGTCTTAAGAATTCTAGCTTTTTTAAAATCGGCAGAAACTCTGTGAGACTGGCGTATAGACCATCAACAGCAGACTTGAACAATTCAAAACCCTGTTGGCTATCCTCCGTATACTCAAACTTCTCCCAGAATGTCGGCGCTACGTGACAACGGATGTATTGTTCTATGTTATGAATCACAACCTCTATGATATATTCTGTTGTCTTGACAAATTGAATAATTTCTACTAAATTTGCTAATTCCTCCTCTGTGCATTCCTCTTGAACCTAAAAAAAAGACAGCTTATCGAGCATCTTTTACAGTAAAAATTAAAAAGAAGTTTGTTAAAGGATTGAGTTATGTATCTCTGTGATAATGAGAATCATGTCATATATATTGTTTTTTTTTTAAGTTATTATAAGCCTTTTAATTTAAAAATAATACATAATTTAAAAAATAACAGATATCAGTCTGAACTTTAAACAAAGCTAAATTTTTTAATATGATATCCAAATTATCCGAGATAATTGTCATCTCAAGTCTAACAATAAAGTGTTTAATTATTCAGATAATCAAAATCTTACGCCTAAAAAGTCAATTTAACATAAAAATCGATGAATTTGCAGAACTACGAAAATAGAATTGATTATAAAAAAATACAATTTATTAATATTTATTAAAATAATATTAAATATTTGTACATCTATTAGTCAAATATTTAAAAATTCAAATCTTATTTACAGTCCTGACATGAACACCATACTTATATTGAGGTTATAATTTCATACAGTAATATTAATGTTGATATTGTAAGATATTCCATTGTCGAAAAAAGAAATTTGTGATTTCATACAACATATATTATACATACCTTTCCCTTAATTATTGGAAATACACGTTCTAACTGCTCGAAGAAATTGATCGACTTCTCTTCTACCTTCGCCATGTTTACTAACACATGCGAGTAATGTTGTCTAATTCAGGTCAGGTTATATTATAACCGGGTAATTATGTTAGGTTATGGTTTACAATCAAAGAAAGTAAACTGAAAAGAGAAGTAAAACAGAATTTTTGGAGTTCTTTTACACACATTAGAGTGACTTCGATCAAACTCGATTAACTTGTCAAATAATTTCATCAACGTAAATAAATTATAAAATCTTTTCATTGCATATGACATCGAAAAATTAAATCAGAAGTATATTTTAATAATCTAAAGTTTTACTTTGCAAGTTATATCAATTGCAAATTAAGTTAATTAAAATCGATCGACGTCGCTATCAGAGAAATGCGGATACAGATGTTGAAAGTATACGTCTTTATTTTCAGAATTGTAAGTGTAAACATGAATAGATTTTCATTCAAGTACAAGAACGTGATCCTGGGTGTGACTGCGACTGCATTTGGATATTATGCAGTCCTTATGCCACACACTGTTTTCCTGAAAAAGTACAGATACATGGTGGCCTCATATCAGTGAGTAATGCAAGGTATTGAGATTCTCATTCTTTATTCCAAGTCTAAAACTTAATGTTCCTTTTTTATATAAACGTATAGAATGGGAACAGAGGTGCCATTAAGCTCTAAAGTC